GAGTAGGAGACCTCAGTGGGCTTCCTTCTGGAGAAGTTCTAGAGACTTCTACCTCTGGAGTAGGAGACCTCAGTGGACTTCCTTCTGGAGAAGTTGTAGAGACTTCTACCTCTGGAGTAGAGGACCTCAGTGGACTTCCCTCTGGAGGAGAAGTTCTAGAGACTTCTACCTCTGGAGTGGAGGACATCAGCGGGCTTCCTTCTGGAGAAGTTCTAGAGACTACTGCCTCTGGAATAGAGGATGTCAGTGAACTTCCTTCAGGAGAAGGTCTAGAGACCTCTGCTTCTGGAGTAGAGGACCTCAGCAGGCTCCCTTCTGGAGAAGTTCTAGAGACTTCTGCCTCTGGAGTAGGGGACATCAGTGGACTTCCTTCTGGAGGAGAAGTTCTAGAGATTTCTGCCTCTGGAATCAGGGACCTCAGTGGACTTCCTTCTGGAGGAGAAGGTCTAGGGACCTCTGCTTCTGGAGTAGGGACTGACCTCAGTGGACTTCCTTCTGGAAGGGAGGGTCTAGAGACTTCAGCTTCTGGAGCTGAGGACCTCAGTGGGTTGCCTTCTGGAAAAGAAGACTTGGTGGGTCCAGCTTCTGGAGACTTGGACTTGGGAAAACTGCCTTCTGGAACTCTAGGAAGTGGGCAAGCTCCAGAAACAAGTGGCCTTCCCTCTGGGTTTAGTGGCGAGTATTCTGGGGTGGACCTTGGAAGTGGCCCACCCTCTGGCCTGCCTGACTTTAGTGGACTTCCATCTGGATTCCCAACTGTTTCCCTAGTGGATTCTACATTGGTGGAAGTGGTCACAGCCTCCACTGCAAGTGAACTGGAAGGGAGGGGAACCATTGGCATCAGTGGTGCGGGAGAAATATCTGGGCTGCCCTCCAGTGAGCTGGACATTAGTGGGGAAGCTAGTGGACTCCCTTCAGGAACTGAACTCAGTGGCCAAGCATCTGGGTCTCCTGATGTCAGTGGGGAAACACCTGGACTCTTTGATGTCAGTGGACAGCCATCAGGGTTTCCTGACATCAGTGGGGGGACATCTGGGATTTTTGAGGTTAGTGGGCAGCCATCAGGGTTTCCTGACACTAGCGGGGAAACATCTGGAGTGACTGAGCTTAGCGGGCTCTCCTCTGGACAACCAGGTGTTAGTGGAGAAGCATCTGGGGTTCCTTATGGCAGTAGTCAACCCTTTGGCATAACCGACCTGAGTGGAGAAACATCCGGGGTCCCTGATCTCAGTGGGCAGCCTTCAGGGTTACCAGGGTTCAGTGGGGCAACATCAGGAGTCCCTGACCTGGTTTCTGGTGCCACGAGTGGCAGCGGTGAATCTTCTGGCATTACATTTGTGGACACCAGTTTGGTTGAAGTGACCCCTACTACATTTAAAGAAGAAGAAGGCTTAGGGTCTGTGGAACTCAGTGGCCTCCCTTCCGGAGAGGCAGATCTGTCAGGCAGATCTGGGATGGTGGATGTCAGTGGACAGTTTTCTGGAACAGTCGATTCCAGTGGGTTTACATCCCAGACTCCAGAATTCAGTGGCCTACCAATTGGCATAGCTGAGGTCAGTGGAGAATCCTCTGGAGCTGAGACTGGGAGCAGCCTGCCCTCGGGAGCATATTATGGCAGTGGACTTCCATCTGGTTTCCCCACTGTCTCTCTTGTAGATAGAACTTTGGTGGAATCTGTAACCCAGGCTCCAACAGCCCAAGAGGCAGGAGAAGGGCCTTCTGGCATTTTAGAACTCAGTGGTACTCATTCTGGAGCACCAGACATGTCTGGGGACCATTCTGGATTTCTGGACCTAAGCGGACTGCAGTTCGGGCTGGTAGAGCCCAGTGGAGAGCCACCAAGTACCCCATATTTTAGTGGGGATCTTGCCAGCACCACCGATGTAAGTGGAGAATCCTCTGCAGCCATGGGCACCAGTGGAGAGGCCTCGGGACTTCCAGAAGTTACTTTAATCACTTCTGAGTTCATGGAGGGTGTTACTGAACCAACTGTTTCTCAGGAACTTGGCCAAAGGCCTCCTGTGACACACACACCCCAGCTTTTTGAGTCCAGTGGAGAAGCCTCCGCAGCTGGGGACATTAGTGGAGCTACCCCAGTGCTCCCTGGGTCTGGAGTAGAAGTGTCATCAGTCCCAGAATCTAGCAGTGAGACGTCCGCCTATCCTGAGGCTGGAGTTGGGGCATCTGCTGCCCCTGAGACCAGCGGAGAAGATTCTGGGTCACCTGATCTGAGTGAAACCACCTCTGCATTCCATGAAGCTGACCTTGAGAGATCCTCTGGCCTAGGAGTGAGCGGCAGCACTTTGACATTTCAAGAAGGCGAGCCGTCAGCTTCCCCAGAAGTGAGTGGAGAATCTACCACCACCGGTGATGTGGGGACAGAGGCACCAGGCTTGCCTTCAGCCACTCCCACGGCTTCTGGAGACAGGACTGAAATCAGCGGAGACTTGTCTGGTCATACCTCGGGGCTGGGCATTGTCATCAGCACCAGCATCCCAGAGTCTGAGTGGACCCAGCAGAGCCAGCGCCCTGCAGAGGCGCATCTAGAAACTGAGTCCTCAAGCCTCCTGTACTCAGGAGAAGAGACTCACACAGCCGAAACAGCCACCTCCCCAACAGATGCTTCCATCCCAGCTTCTCCAGAATGGACAGGTGAATCAGAGTCAACTGTTGCAGGTATTGTTGGAATTTTTTCCCCCTTTAAATGTGCTTGGGTAGTTCACACTGTAGGCTACTGTAGCACAGAAGGAGACAGCGTAGCTTTAAGGTTCCAAGAACAGCTCCACCACAGGTTAGCTGTGCAGCCTCAGGCAATAGTCTTCACCTCTCTGAGCCTCATCTGTAACAAGAGTAGGATAATACTATACCAGGGAAGATTAAGCAGAACAGAAACATAGATAAAGCAAGCACTTCGCATCACACTCTGCATACAGTGCACACTTACAAAGATTAGTGATGCTATTGTTACAGCAGAGTTACAGTCCATGAGTTTTCACATGTGAATTCAACTATCTGTACTTGGCACAGGGAGAGAAGGATGACTGTTTAGCTAGTGCTAGAAATTCTGCTCATGCACCCTGCCCCGGAGTGAGTGTGAGATGAGAGAGTAAATCTGTTGATGGTGTTTGTGGCTGAATATTTATTTTGTGCAGGGTTAAAACCTGCACAATTTAAGGAACTATGAAACGTCATTTGGCTCTCTGGCTTTAGATTCATCCCCAACCCCATCCCTACACAAAGGGGCTCCTGTACTGTCATGATTGTCTCACTGTGACATAACCCCATATGCCGGGCAGTGGGCACTGGTAGCTGATTTTCCTTTGTTTTTTTGCTCTGGGGTCCCTTGTACCTTCCTTTGTGCTGAGAGAGCTTTCACAGCTGGAGAGCTCCCCCGATGCTGTGGGTCAGGTGCCCAGGAGGGACACAGGCCCCGGAAAAGTGCTGACCCAAAGCCAGCCTCGTGGACTTCAGGGACCTCATGCCCCAACTTTGAGGTCTTAGAGGCCATGGTAGCCAGGTGACTGTGTTCTTGATGCTCAACCTCTCCCCTGGGGGTTGCAGCCCCCACCAGGTCCTGTGCAGAGGAGCCCTGTGGCGCTGGGACCTGCAAGGAGACAGAGGGTCATGTCATATGCCTGTGCCCCCCTGGCTACACTGGCGAGCACTGTAACATAGGTAAGGCCCTCACTGGCCGTGGAGAGTGCGGGCGGAGGTGCTGGACAGACGCCTTCATCCCCCAAAGGGTCCCCAGGCAGGGGGAGGCAACCAAGGTCCACTGAGGCTCAGGCTTCTCGGGCTGGGAAGGAGTTGCATGATGACATATCAGGGGCAGAAACCACAGGACAGACATGGCTCAGCTTTCTCAAATGTCTAGGTTTAGGAGAAAAGAGTCAAGTAATTAAGTTGGTAAGTATTTTTATATCAAGCCAATGACTACTGTAGGAGTAGAACGAAAAATGTGCTTGAATTTTGGAGATGAGACTTCAAAGAAATATTGAGCATGGGGTGAGTATTAAATACAGAGGGTCACACCTCTCCGCTCCTGTGAGGAGTCTCTGAGTGGGACCATCTTGTATCGTGCAGACTGAACCCCACCAACTTGCCTCCATGCTTAGGTCTGCATGGGGTTTGGGTCCCCTTCTTGCCTTGAAGGATATGACACAAACAGTGCTAATCACCCAGCACAGGGATTCGTGACTGTAGGGCAGCTGTAACCCAGCAGCGCATCTGCCCAGGCACCCACCGTGAGCCTGTTTGTCCTTAGCCATGGGTGAAGCAGCCTGTGGGATGGGTGGAGACCTGGAGACCCTCTGATCTGAGGTGGACCCCGGAAGGAGATGGTTAGAATCTACCTGTTGTTCCATGGACACACGGGAGGCCCGTGGTCATGAGGACATCTCATCAACATCACCACCCTTGAGGAAAGAAATGCCCAGTTACCACCAAGCTCATATTCTCTCATTAGTTCTCCCACTGCCCCAGTGCCCTTATCCCCAGCCTCCCTCCTAAGTCAAGAATCAGAGACCTAGGGCCTTTCATAAAAGGGGTCACCCCTGGGACATGTGCAAAACTGAAAAAATGAATCCTGGAGAAAAAACAATCACTTCCAGGTAAACTTCATGTCAGGCAATTATCCTTCGATAGCCTTTACATCAAACACAGAGAAGAATTCTGTGTCTATATATATTAATATACATGCAAATTAATACATCGTTATATATTATTATATATCATATAAACATGCTGTATACCTGGTACATATGCAGTAACTATATATGTACATATAAACAAGCATTAGGGTAGATATTCATTCACTCTTTCCCCAGCGTGTGGGCTCCAAGGACAGAGAGGGTGCGTTATCCAGGGAAGGTCCCGGGCTTACTGCAGAAGGGGGCAGCAGTTCCACTGGGCTATAGTGACCCCAGGGACAGTAGCTGCACCCCACCATCACTCACCCCTGATGGGTAACTCCACTCTTGGCAAATGCTTCTCAACCTGATACTTGAGGCAAAAATCTGACACTAGCATCAGAAGTCAAAGCAAGGCTCATGTTCTTGACGGCCCTGAAATTAGTAGAAGTAAGTGTCAGTGGGCCGTAACTGTTCTGCTGTAAGGACAGTGTTTGTGTGATCATGTATATTTCCAAAGAGCTTTTGTTCCCACGATTTCTCCCCAGACGGCTCTGTAAGCAGCTTGGTAACTACCCCCATTTGAGACTGGAACACAGAGGAGTTAAATAATTTCCCTAACTATACTGAGTAAGTGGATCGAATCAAGAATCAAGACCTTAATTCACGTGTTTAACACACTTGGCTAAATAAGAAACTCCCTCTTGAACATAACAACCAGTTGCTGGTCTCAAAAAACTGAAGCTGGACTTCAGGGGAGCCAGACTGCGGAGGAGCTGAGGAATCCAAGGTGGTCGGATTTAAGACTTACAGCCCAGCCTTCATTTTCCTCATTTGTAAACAGGGATTGATGGTAATGGTTCTCAGCTTTGAAAAATTATGATGCTTGAGATATACCCCCACAGACTGTGATTGAAGTGGTTCTGTGGCCTTGGCATTGAGGCTTTTTAAAACTCCCAGGCTACTCCAATGTGCAGCCAGGGCTGAGAACTGCTGCTGTGAGGGTGAAGATCACCCACGTACAGCATCTGGTCAGAAGAGGCATTTAATAAAAATTGCTTCCCTTTCCCCATCTCTCATTCTACTGGCTCAGAGAAGCTTTAGCATGTCCAAAGAGTGAGTGGTGGGGATCAGACCAGCACAAAACCTGGTCTCTTTTCCCATGAAAAGTGACCCTGGGGTCCCAGGTCACTCCTGTTCAACTTAGCTCAAGGTTCAAGTGCTTCCAGAAGGACTGCAGATAGTGGCCAGTCTCCACGGGTGACCCACCATTGTCTTGCACCAGAACCAGGAACCACAGGTTGTTAAAAAGGCCACGGATCGGCCAGGTGCAATGGCTCATGCCTATAATCCCAGCACTTTGGGAGACCAAGGCAGGTGGATTGCCTGAGGTCAGGAGTTCGAAACCAGCCTGACCAATATGGTGAAACCCCATCTCTACTAAAAATACAAAAATTAGCTGGGTGTGGTGGTACACGCCTGTAGTCCCAGCTACTCAGGAGGCTGAGGCAGGAGAACTTCTTGAACCCAGGAGGCGGAGGTTGAGTGAGCTGAGATTGTTGCACTGCACTCCAGGCTGGGTGACAGAGTGACACTCCGTCTCAAAAAAAAAAAAAAAAAATGGATCAGTATCCTGGGGGAACCATAGGGAGTAAAATGCAGCATGATTCCTGCACTAATATTTGAATCCTCAGGGAAAACTTCCACCTGGTCAAGGAGGTCAGAAGCTGTATTTAGCCCTTAAAAAAAATTGATAATTACTGTCTTCTTGTTTAGTCAGTCTTCCATAAATAAGTTATTCATAAGTTATAAGTTACTGATTGATAACTGATAAGTACTTTTATCAATCAGTACTTTTGACTTCAAATTAAGATCTAGGTTGGGTGTGGTGGCTCACACCTGTAATCTGAGCACTTTGGAAGGCTGAAGTGGGCGGATCTCTTGAGCTTAGGAGTTTGAGACCAGCCTGGGCAACATAGTGAAACCCAATCTCTATTTAAAAAAAAAAAAAAAGTCAAGATCCATTTAATGAATACTCATTATTTAGCAATTAAAAGCAAGACTATTCTATTCTGACCCACTTCAAAACAGCAGCGTCTTTCCCCACTTCCATTACTGACAGCAGCCATGGGAATTAGGCTTCAGACTCAGGTTTCTATCCTGGCTGCAGCTTAGAATCACCTAGGGTGCTTTTAAAAAGCATCAAACCTGGGCCCCCTCTGAGACAGTCTGATTCAATTGGTCTAAAGAGGAACTTCAGCACTGGTATTTTTTAAAAATCTTTAAATAAGAATATTTTTTAAAACTACTCCAGTAATTCTAATGTGCCAGCCAAGGTTGAAAAATACTGTTCTAACTAGATCTCACATCCAATTTCTAGTCAGCACTGGTGCTATCCGGACTTCTCTTATCTCCTCTGTTAGGAGGACATGACCTTAAACTTAATCAGTCTCCTTCCTATCTTGCTGCTATTTCTCACTTTCTAGGTTTGAAGCTCTGATCTATGACCTTATACTCTCTCTTCGTCTAGGAGAGATGTTTGAATTTCAGTGAAACCTTTATCCCTGGGAAAGAAATGTTTTCAAAGCAAATGAAAATACAGGGTTGCAAGTGAAAATACAAAGTATACCTTCTTGACTTAACCAAAAAGTTCCTGGGCAGATTTTAATAGGCAACTAATTGATTTAAGAAGCAGGATATTGTTGGGCACAGTGGTGCACACCTGTAATCCCAGAACTTTTGTCCCAGCTACTTGGGAAGCTAAGGTGGGAGGATCACTTGAGCCCAGGATGTCGAGACTGCAGTGAGCCATGGTCGTGCCACTGCACTCCAGCCTGGGTGACACAGTGAGACCCTTGTCTCAAAAAAAAAAAAAAAAAAGCAAGATATTAAAGTTATATTCAAGATTAACCTTTAAAATACAGAAGATTTGAAACAGTACAAATAATGATAACATACATTATAATCTTTTTTTTTTTTTT